TGGAATTTTCTGCTAAGGGTTTCCATAGTTTGTCAGCAGATTTGACACTACTGGAACTGCTGGTTATTGTTTTTTAACTGCAAAGATTTGTTTTATAACAAGCTCAAGTATTTTAAGCTTGAAAAAATCATAGCATTTCAACTCTCCTGATAATTTGAGCTATCACATATCTTTGGTCCCACCCATCTATTTTCTGCTTTGGTTACAATGGATAATACCTTATTGTTCATTTTCTTAGCACAATGGACACAGATGAATTCAATTTACTTCAAGTTGTCTTTTCCGATGTCTTTGGATAACCCCCACCCCCCACCCAATTTGGGTGTGTGGTTTCACTTATCTCTGTGAAATTTAAACAAATACATGAAGGTCTGAAAATGTTATTCTATTCCTCCTTCATTAAGGATGGGTTATGATGTTTTGGTTTTTCTTTTCCTTCTTGGAAAATATGTTTTTCATGCTATCTGACATAGTGTGTCAGCAATCATTTTCATCAAAGAGTCTAAAACTGGTTTTATATTTGTGCCATTTATTAGGGAAATGTATTAGCAAGAGGATTGATGGGGGGGGCATATTTCTTAATAGGTGGAAGTAATTAAGATGGGCACTGTTGCTGACATCTTGGCCTTTGGCACTTTGGACAGAAGGAATAATTACCATTAAGCTTCACTTCTTATGTAGCAGATCATGGGTCACCCCTGCAGGCTCAGAATCAATGCAACTGATGTGGCATCATTGGGATACAAAGGGTAGAGAACACGGATTTGGTTAAGTTTTATCACATGGGTTTTGTGCCAATAGGAGAGTAAGTACATAAAATAGCATGGAGTGTCTGGACCAGAGGTTACACAGAGGTGATGTTAGTGGTGTTTTGAGAAAAGGTTTGAAGACATGGAGAGATGAAGCATGATGTATATGATCACAGAATCAATTTCAAGCATGAAGGTTACCCATGGTGATAAATATCAAAGAACAAACTTGAGTATGGATTGAGACGATTGTACCTTCCATTAATACACAGGTCCAAAATAATAATCTGCATGTTTCCCAAACATTTTCATGTAGTTCTGAGCTCAAAACAGGTGAAAATTGTTTTTAAATGCCTTTAAAAAATACATTTTAGGGTTTTATGAGTGGGTTTTTAAGAAGTTAATCCAGGTATAAATTGGATGCAAAAACTTTAGAAGTAAACACATTTGAATGTCACATATACCATAAATAGTTTAATTCATCCAAACCTAAATAAGCCTAATTGGATATGATGTGATTCATTGAGAATAAGTAAGCTTGTAATCCTGTAGTGGACTTTGAGCTCAGTGAACTTCCGAGATGACATCCATAGGGATGTGCTTTTGGTAAGTCTGATGCTGTCTTTAGGATATTTCCAACTAATGGCAACCCTAAGGTGTACCTGCATAAGATTTTCTTGGCAATATTTGTGCAGAGTGATGTTTCCATTGCCTCCCTTTGAGCATTCAGCATTCAGATCAATGCACCATATTTGTATCTCCCAATTTGAAATTTTAGGCATGCTGCCCATCAGAATGCATGGTAGACTCTCAGTTAACCAGCACCCATGGGAAATTGGTACATATGGGATAAATTTAGCTTCTGGTTGCTTGAGAGTTACTATTAAAAATAGGCATAATTAATATTACACCCCATATTTTACCATACCATAAACTATATACTGATTTGATATAATATTGAAATACAGTAATTAAAAGTAAATAAAGACCAACTTAATGTAACATAATTTTACTGTATTATAAAACTTGATTGTGAATACATTATGCAATTTTAATTAAATGGCATCAATAAACTTTTCAGACTAATTAACTTAATAAATAATTTAATTTTTTATTTATAGTGCTACTTTTGGATTATTTTTTTTTTTGCCTGTTGCTTTAGCGTTCTAGTTAACTGAGGGTCTAGTGTACTGGTATGTGTAATGACCATGGGCTCTACAGATACTTTCAGCTGGTGACTTTGGTCTGGTGCCTCTACTGAATCCCACCAGTATACTATTAACTTAGCAATTTGTAAGAATAATTACTGGGGTTAAACAGATATTGGAATGACACTGTCAGTTGGTGATATCAATTAAATTGAAATCCAGAATCATATACATAATCATAACAGCAATAGCTATTACCCAAAGACCCCCACTAAGCATTTATATATGTCCACTAGGTTGCTATGTGTATTTTGGATATATTTACTTACTTATGTGATCTATCATCTGGGTATGATGGCCCTCCAAGTGCTGTGTTTTGACAGTGGATATGTAGGTGGCTGTAGAGCCCTATTCTTGATCGACATGTTCTTCCACAGTGAGGGCATCAGTTTCCATGTGGAAGGCAGTCCCATTCAGGGTTGGCTTGACACGCCTTCCTCTTGGCATGTTTCTCCCTTTCATCCTCCATTTGAACCGTCTTTGATTCCACAGCACTGCTGGTTCACAGCTGACCTCCAGGTTAGGGCTCAAGGGGCCAGGGCTTCCCAGTTCTCGGTTGTCTATGCCACAGTTTTTAAGGTTAGCTTTAAGCCCATCTTTACATCTCTTTTCCTATCCACCAACATTCCATTTTCCGTTCATGAGCAGAGAGTAGCGTAACTGCTTTGGGAAACAGTGATCAGGCATTCAGACAATGTGGCCAGTCCAGTGGAGTTGATGATGTAGGATCATCACTTGAGTACTGGTGGTCTTTGTTTCTTTCATAATGCTCACATTTGTCCACCCGTCTTTCCAAGAGATTTTTAGTTTCTTTCAGAGACAACACTGATGGAATTGATTTGATTTTTAAAAAATTACAGTCTTTGACCAGCACAGTATAGAATGGGGCACCGGTGCCCAAGGAAGGGAATCGCAGTTCCCAAGTAGGTCAGGTATAAAAGCAGATTAAAAACATGTTATAAAAGAGACAAACTGAAAAGATAAAACAGCCTAAACTTACAGTTTAAAGTGCATGTATGAATCTAAAATAGGGGGGCGGCTAATAACAAATATCGGACAACTGGGAAACTCTAAAAAGGGATGAGAGGGGAGCATTTACAGCATTTCAGTTATTACAAATCATTCTAACTATATTCCCGGCAGGAAGTTGCCTGGTGGAGTCAGTCATCAGCCGTCTAATGTTAATTGCTGCAGCACAGAACTTGGCAACACTGTAGGTTGTTGCAGAGCAAGAGTCCGAGAGCAACAGGAGGGTGTAATATCTTTGAGTGCGCCCTGGATGTTTTAAAAGCCAAGGAGTGATGAAATTAGCTCTAATGTCTCTATAGAATACACATTGGGGGAGCACATGTTCAGTTGTTTCAATGTAGCCAGACTCACACGGGCATAGTCTCTCCTGGGCAGGGGTCTTCCGGTACCTCCCCTCCAGTACTGCCGATGGAAGGGCATGGCATCTTGCCAAAGTGAAAGCTCTTCGGTGTTTAGGCACCTCCAGGTTTGCTAAGTAAGCCATAGGAGTGATGAGATATCTGTTATCTTCGCTAATGGTGAATGCTGGAGAGCAGGCTAAGTCTGATTGTCGCTCTATATCCAGGATCCGTTGTCTAATAAGATCCTTGGCTTGGTCCCATCCCATACCTAGCAGTTGTCCTTGAGAGAAGCCTAGAGTTGCGATTTTGATTGCCACTACCTTATTCCATGTAGACTGAAATTCATCTCTCAGAGTTAACGGAGCAAGGCCACATGTTGAGAAAGACAGATGCAGCCAGTAATTGAGGGTGGCTGTCCACACTCTCACCTCCACTCTCACGAGGCCTGTCTCTAGTCGCAGGGTGGTGTTTGAGACACATCTGGGGACCTGCATCACCGATCTTAGAAATTTTGATTGTACTTGCTCCAGAGGGGCATAGTTTGAGAAGGGACCGAGTTGGGCTCCATACATCATTTGTGCTATGGATTTTGCCTCAAAGAGCTTAAGTGCTGCTGGTATGTAGTGGCCTCCTCCCATTTTGAGAAACTTTAGGATAGCATATGAGCTCTTTTGTGCTGCCTCTGCTACGTAATCCACATGTACTTTCTTGTTTCCAGTGCAGTGATAGAATACTCCCAGGTATTTAAAGCTGGAGACCTGTTCAATATTGTGTCCATCTAGTCTCCAGATATGATGCTTGGGTCATTTCGCAAATACCATAATTTTGGTTTTTTTAAAATTAAGATGAAGCTGTTCTTCATTACAATATTTTTTTAAGGCTTTTCAGGCCTACTTGAGTTCTGGATAGTATCACTGCAACGTCTGCATAAAGCAGGGTAGATACGTGTCTTCCTGCCAGTTTTGGAGGGTGGTAGTCCAAGTTGTAAAGGTGCTCCACCATGAATCCGTCATTATGGTCCACACGTGCACTGATAGAATCATTTCAGAAGTTGTGTGTGATGTCTATAGATGGTCCACATTTCACGGGCATATAACAGGGTTGGAAGGACAATAGTTCTATAAACAAGCACCTTGATATCCTCATGGATGTCCTGAACTTCAAACACTCTCTGCTTCATTTAGAAAAATGCTGCATTCATAGAACTCAGGAGGTGTTGAATTTCAGTGTTGATGTTAATTTTTGTGGAAAGGTGGCTGCTAAGGTAGCAGAAATGGTCAACATTTTCTAATGTTACACCATTATGCTGTAGCAGTTCCTTAATGGAGCAGTAAAGTCAACATGGTATAGTGGTCTGAGCATGGGGCTATGATTCTGAAGACAGGGTTCAAATCCCTGCTTAGTCATGAAAATCCACAGGATGCCCTTGGGAAAGTCACATTGTCTCAGTCTCAGAAGAAGGAAAAGACAGATATTGTAGTATTGTAACATCCACCATTCCTCTGAACAAATCTTTCAAAAAAATACTTGAGGACCATTTCAAGGTCCTCATAAGTCAGAAATGACTTGAAAGCACAAAAGCCTCTCCAACAATTAACACATAGTTGCAGGTAAGTTGTCAAAGGGATCATTGTGGTCATCTTCAACTTTCTATTCTTCTAAACAACCCACAGGTCCAGAATCTGGAGCAGCACAACCAAGTCTTGCTCACCAGGTGGAACTTTTTGAGAGAACAAGACAACTCCCTTTCTGATTTGGACATCAAACTCCTCTATGACCAGTATATGAACAGACTACGGCTCGAGATCCGCTCTATTGATAATGAAAAGGAACAGCTTGATGCAGAACTTGATGAAGTGTTGGATGCCATGGATAATGTTCGGAATAGGTAGGTCTCTTTTCTTTCTCCTTCTGCCTCTTCTGAATTTCTTTCAGAGTTCTTGGACAGATTAACAAATCTCTTTTAATCCAGTGGCCTCAAAAACAGTCTTGGGGGCTACATGCGGACTATGGGCCACATCTTATTCATCACAGCCTTAAGGTTTAAAGCCATCAATTGCATGATCTGTCCAAATGCCCTATGTTGTGAAGAGAGGTCTTTTTTCCAGATGCACGCTTTCAAGAGATTTTTTAATTAGTGAATGAATGAATGAACGAGAACTACATTACTATGGGCTGGAGAAGATGGGATGGGTATCAGTAGGTCAAATCTTCTTCAGGCAAACCAACATGTAGGTCTAAGTACAACCATAGTATATCCATGAGAGATTCATTTCTGATTTTACTTTGGAAACAGGACGCCATGAAAAATAGTGAAACCTGTTGAAATGAAGCATGCCATAAAATCATTTGGAGGATCTAAACAATTCCAATAGTTGATCTATTTTGTCAGATGCAGTAGATGAAACCACTGATACTGGTCTGAAAGGTATGGGGGTTAGACTGTATGTCTGCAGCTGCTTCTTAACACCATAATTTTACCAGCATGCTCATGTTTCTGAGTGCTGTAAAGGCATACATTTCCCCCAGTTTTGAATAAATACCCCTCATTTAGAGATGCCAGAAATATTTATAATTTTCCCAGTACTAGAAATACATATTTGCCAATATGTAAAATTATCCTAAAGGTGTATCTCTTGTCTTGCACATTGCTCTTATTCACTTCATTCCTTTCTTTTGAAATACAAGGCAGGCCACCCTGAGCATCCTTTAGGACATTAGACATGGTTACATATAGATAATGTTGGCAATGAAAAAGCACAAGAAGCACACTCTCTCTCAAACACAAGTCATTTGGCAACATCCTGGTGTAAATTACATGAGTGTATGTGTATAAAATTATTTATAAATAAGATGGTTTGTTTATCTATCCCCATGTTTCTTACAGTTGGCAAACACACATGGTTCTCCATAAGGAACGTAAACTGTTGTAACTTGGAAGGAACACTTTGCTTCCACATGAATTGTATCCTAAATCCACCTCCTTGATCCCAGAAACTTCTCTGCAAACACACCCCTAGTCAAAAGCATATGGTTGAGTATTATGGGCTTTGAGCAGAGAGACAGGCCTCATGTTTGCTCCCCAAACTGTCAAATTATGTCAGAGAACCTTGCAAGACATAATGTCTTCTTACTGAGTTGGATGAAACCAGGAGACAACAAGATGAGGTGTAAAAGAAGATCTGAGTTTGGAGGATGAGGTAGGCTGTAATTAAACACAGCATGTGTACCCTGGCTTTGTGTCAAACATTCCAGCCCAAAGGGCAGGAAAAACCAGAAGAACCGACATTTCTACCATCAGCATCCTTGTAATGGGACTTACGAAATAGGTAGCTCCCAGGGTGAGGAAGAGATTCTGTCAGTGTCCTTCTGTTTGGAAGAGCTATTTCTTCCCTAAGCCATAGGCTGTTTCTGTTGGTTATTGCTTGTTTGTTTTTAATTTACACTTACTGAATCTTCAACAGCTGTGTTGCTGGTTCTGCAGTTTGAGAGCTTGAATTGAGGGCCTTGTAGTCCAAGGCTGTGATTTTCCTAAGATCTGATGCATGTTGAGGTCTCAGAGTTTCCTTCAATAAAAAAGGAAGGCATGGCAGTGCTTGGCAACATGGCCTCTGGATTGGTCAAGGCATGTTTAAATCCTGGGCTTTTGTCCTTGTCTGAATAAAAGACCTATCACATCTACTCATTAAACTTCCATGTCCATCCATCCCTCCTTGACTTAAGGACATGGGAGAAATTGACTAAGTTCATGAATTCATTCAAGCTTCCTCGTTCACAACCTTCCTAGACACAAAGGCAGCCCTGCAGGCAAACCGTCATCAGAATTTGCATATCTATTAGCCTCCAGCGATATTAACTTAGCAACCAAAGATATTTGGAATGTATACAGTTGAACATGCACAAAAATGCACACGTTGGGGGTGGGGGTGAAATATACACAGACACAATGTAGTCAATGGAAACAAAGTAGAAAAATAAATGTAGAAAATATATAGAAGTGTCTATGCAGGAGAAAAGCCTCCAATCTGATATTGATTGTGAGTTGGAACTTACTTTGAGGAAGAGATCAGAAAATCCTAACATTTGTGAATTTTATAGATTTTCACATTCCTGATCCCAATCCAGGAACCTTATTCCAAGGCTGAAATTGGTCAAGATCATCTATGTAGCTCCAGCTTCAGTCTTACATAGGTTCTGTGTAGAAAGATGTGAACAGAGATCAGCTACATAATAACATGTCTACCCATGCATTACATACATATCTATTGAAAATAAGCCTCTTTTTAAAAACATCAGGAGTAATGCTAATGAAGTCAATACACACATGTGGATGCTATGGTACTGTTTATGGGGTCCTAAATAAAAGAAGATCAATAGGTACCGTTACAGTGGGAAGATAACAGCACTCCATGCAGTCATGCCAGCCACATGACCTTGGAGGTGTCTATGGACAATGCAGGCTCTTCATCTTAGAAATTGAGATTAGCACCAACCCCCAGAGTTGGACACGACTGGATTTAATGTCAGGAGAAACCCTTAACCTTTACCTAAATCAAAGAAGGGAGAAGCTTTAGGAATACAGATGAGGCTAATAGTTTGGTAATGACATTATACAGATGCCTTGAAAAAAATAACAAAGGATGGCTATTCCACAATAAATGACTTGTATCAGTGATACAGCACATGCTTATTGAGCATAAAGTCCCTGGTTGAGTCTCTAGCATCTGTAGACAGAGGAGCAGAAGAGTTGTGTCTGAAACTGTACAAATCTTTTTGTCAGTCAATGCTATTATAATGGTAAGCTACATGAATGGATGGCCTAACTTGCTGTAAAGCATCATTCTACATTTCTGTGTACCATATGTTACCACTATATATCAAAGTTATAGACAGATCTGGTTTGACACATTCATGGCTACTAATCACAACGCATATTAAAGTATAGATGCAGAGGCTATGTGTCTTCATACCAGTTGTTGCAGAACGAATATGGGAGAAGCCTATTATCCATATGTGAGCTTCCCAAGGCATCAACTTGGCCACTGAGAGGAAGAGGGTGTTTGACTTGTACTCTTGAACCGACTCACCTAGGAGTAAGCCACTAGAAATTACTGCAACTTATTTCACAGTAAATAGGTATAGGACTGTTACAGAACTTGCAAGTGGCATGTTAGAAAGGAACAAGCAACATTTTATGGTTCTGCCCAGAAAAATGGGAAGGAAAGAGGAGAGTAAGATGCACCCAGGTCCATTGTCAGTAAAAATAACATTCTTACTTTATTGTAATACATAGCTTTTGTACCATCTAACATGACACAGCACTCCTCTCATTCAAATTAATCAGAAGCATGCTTTTTTCTTTGTTATTTAGATGATACAAAGGTTGTTTGGCAGGGCTGTTAGTGTCATTCATTATATTCAAAGCTTGCCTCAAGGGCTAGTGTGGGACATTCATGCCACCTGAGGCTACACCCCATGATTTCCTAGTGTAAAGAAAATGGGCCATGAGCATCTTCATGACTACAGGCTGCCAGTATCACAAAAACTGAGCTGCCTTGCTCCCAATCCCATCTTCAGATCTTTACAAACCTGTTTTGAACACCTACACTAATGAAACCTCTTCTGGGAACTTAAGAAGAATGGGACACCAACCCATCCATCCAGTTCTTTCAGCCTTGGAATTGCTGGCAATGTGAGGCACAGTTTGCTATCTCTTTATATGATTATTCTTGAAATGGGTAGATGCACAGAAAGCTTGATCTATGATTTGTTTGGGAATTGCTCTAATATTTGGTGCTGTAAAGTACATATTAGAAAAACAAGGGTATAGTTCTTACTAAGTAAGGACAACTGGATTACATAGACTAAGAAAATTACCAACCCCTGTGCTAGTGAAGAATGATTTTGATCAGACTGCATTAATTTTCTTCACCTTCAACTCTACCTGATTTCATGCCATTTGGAAGTGGGGTGATTCCACTGGAAATGCAATGCAAAGAGTGGTCAAGAAAGTACTGCAATGTGTAATTTTTCATTCAGGCGCTGCTCAAATTGACATCCCACAAGACTCTCTGTTCATCAAGTTACAGTTCACAATTTAGTAAATCAGGCTTCAAATACATTTACTTATTGGGCAACAAGAATGGTTTTATTTATGCAAAGTTTCTAAAATAGTGATGAGATCATAGCATAGTACGTTCTATAGTTGGCACATAGTTGTGGATCTGCATCCTGTTGGTTAGTCACGACTGAAGTCAACCCACAAAATAAATTATTGAATGGTGAGACAACAAGTAAAGAAATTCATTGATTCAATAGGTCCATTCCATAGATCAGTGCAGCGAAAGAAAGATGGTGACAGTATCTGTGTGAACAACCGATTGAGCCCAGTCCAAATGTCCATTAGTCCCCAAAGCCCATGGATATTCCATCATTTCAATTTTGCTTAGTGCAGAGCAAAATCAGGCTAAGTTCAGGCTCTGGTTATTTACTAGAAGTCCCTGTGAGTCGTGAAGACTGCCAACATCAGATTCAGGGTGAGTACGTAAACAGGAGCCACGGTGGCATAATGATTTAAACCCTTGTGCCAGCTAAACTGCTGACTTGAAGACCTGAAGGTCGGCAGTTTGAATCTGCGAGATGGGATGAGCTTCTGTCTGTCAGTCTCAGCTTCCCATGTGGGAATGTGAGAGAAGCCTCTCCCAGGATGGTAACACATCCGGGTGTCCCCTGGGCAACATTCTTGCAGACAGCCAATTCTCTCACACCAGAAATTACTTCCAGCATATTCTCAATTCGCTTCTGACGTGATTTTTTTTTTTAAAAAAAAACTAATGTTGACAAGCCCTACCTCCTTCAGGGTGGCTCTATAGTAACTTCCACCATAAGGTGTTCATTTCAGTAGGGTTCTCCTATTATCCATGATTTTCTGTTTCCATGGTAGATTCAGGAACATAATCCCCATTGATATAGAGGTTGTGCTATAAGAAGTAAATTTATCATGTGTATGTACATACTATGTACTTTATTTAAAAGTGTATATGCACAGAAACAGTGTTTGCATCCAAATTTACTATGTATGGAAACATTTTTCTTATTCAACTCAGATATGATATCTAGGTTTGGAGAAAACTGAATAACAGGGTGGACTAGGTAAGATTCCATGGGCAGAATGGATGTGGAAACAAGACTATAAAGTGAGACTCATGCAGAGAGAATGAGTCCTGAGTGTCAATTACCAGCACAATAATCAAACCCAAATATAAATGCCAAAGAAGAGAAAGGGGGAAATAGGACTTTCTGTAGGGACATGGAACTTCAGGTGCTACCAGTGGAATCCATGAAATAACCACAGTGGAACTGGTAAACTACTAGATCGCTTTAAAAAAAACCTGAACATTGAAGGCAGGACATGGGGTGGCGATGTTGGAAGGAAATAGTTTGCATTATTTGAGGCTTGTGACAAACCACCCACCACAGTGATTGGGGTTTGTGTCCAGCTCTTCTAGACTTACCCCATACCTGACATCTTCCGCTCTTATTTCCAACTCGATTATGTCTGACATTATTTATCCTCCCACACATTTTTCAGGAGGTCCGAGAATTCCTCTGGAAGTGGATATATTTCACATTATTGTGTTGTATTGTATCTAGGAAAATGGGCCCATTATATGACCAGTTAAGAGCTGTGATAATTCACAGACTAATGAGCAGATGGCACAGGTGTGGTTTTTGTATGTGTTGATGTGTAAGATCACTGGTTTTATTTCCCAAACAGATTAAGGAAGTAAATATAGAGAACCCAAATTATATATACTGCTTAAATTATACCTTTTGTCATTTCATTCATACCAATTATCCCCCCCATCTTCTCGAAGCTATGAGGAAGAAATAAACAAGCGGACTGGGATGGAATTCACCTTCACGGCTCTGAAAAAGGTAGGCATGTGTAAACATTTTAATGTCACATTTATGCACCGATTTAGCCAAAGGGATTGATCACATACAGATTTAAGTTACATTTTATATGAAAAAGAAAGGTCCTTTGATTCCCCCCCCCCCCCAAAAAAAAATGGTTGGTCTGAATCACTTTTTGAGGCACTGTAACCTATAAAGTGCAAAATTAAGACTTCTTTTTAAACCTTCAGAACTTAACCTCTTCTGCAGAGTCATAGTCCAACGGTCAAACCAGTATATCACACTGAGTTTTGGGATTAAATTCTATGCAGGTTTAGTCCTTGTAGTAACCTATAGATGCAAGAGGTGGACCATAAGGGAGGCTGAATGAAGGAAGATAGATGCTTCTGAACTGTGCTGTTTGAGGAAAATTTTGAGAGTGCCTTGGACCTCAAGATGATCAAACCAGTCGATATTCCAGGAAATAAAGTCCGACTACTCACTGGAGGGAAAGATATTAAAGGCAAAGATGAAATACTTTGCTACATATTGAGAAGACAGGAAAACTTGGAGAAGATAATGATGCTGGAGAAAATTGAAGGAAAATGGAAGAGGGGCCAACCAAGGGGAAGATGGATGGATGGTATCCTTGAAGTGACTGGCTTGACCTTGAAGGACCTGGGGGTGGCCATGGCCGAAAGGGAGTTCTGGCATGGGCTGGTCCATGAGGTCACGAAAAGTCAAACAACTGAATGAATAAACAACAACAGGTTTAGTCCAACTCTTGTATGGTAGGAACAGGTCTTTTTTTTTTTAATTGCTAGTTTGATTTGTTTCCTTCATATAATAAAACCAATGAAAATATTTTTATTCTTTTTTTCCCAGGGAAAAAATGTTTGGGGAGATATTGTGCCTTATGATCCCTCTGAACCCAGCCTTGGGGTCACATTAGGTTCCGGGGTCCATTTTGCCTAAACCAATTGCAGGGCTTTCTTGAAAGAATAATGAGATGGCATCCCATTTTTCCTTACTTAAAATACTGAGAATAGTTAAATAAATGCACAATTATTTGCTTCTAAACCTGAATTCACCCATACACAGAAATTGAGGAGAGAATTATTAATTTATTAATTAATTTATTATTTACTTTATTTCTATACCGCTTTTCTCAGCCCTCAGGCGACTCAAAGCGGTGAACAACATCAGTACAAAATATCACAAAACAAGTATAGGGCAATTAAAAACAATTATCACATAAATCATTAACATCAGTATAACAATCATTAGCGCCTCAACAGTAAAATCAGAATCCAGTCTCGTCATCCATTATTCCGTATTCCTATGTTCAATTACACTGTTTAATCAAATGCTTGTTCGAACAGCCAGGTCTTCACTTTCCTCCGAAATGCCAGCAGGGAGGGGGCCAATCTGATATCTGCAGGCAGGGCATTCCACAGCCGAGGGGCCACCACTGAGAAGGCCCTGTCTCTCGTCCCCGCCAAGCGTGCCTGTGATGCAGGCGGGACCGAGAGCAGGGCCTCCCCAGATGATCTTAGTGTCCTAGTCGGTTCATAGGAGGAGATGCGTTCGGAGAGGTAAGTAGGGTCAGAACCGAGATGAGGTAAAAATTTCAAATACACTGAAATGCTGCAAAGCATTTCTTAAACTTTGGACAAGAAATAATAGTAGGAGAGCTTTTAGGTGCTTCAGCTAATAACCTATTGACCTCTGAAACAATAAACTCCAACCATCCCTGTCAAGGAGGGTGAAACCAACTGAATATTGAAATTAGTGTTTGGGGTTTTTTTTACCTTTTAAAAACATATAATTGGATTTCCTCCTCTTTATTTCTGAAAAAGTTAATCCAATGGCTTGGTTTACTCATCTTTGTTCCTTCTCGAAAAGCAAGTGAAATCTGTGATATAATGATATCAAATCATCAGCATTTTTTTCTCAATTTTTTTGGGGGGAAGAAAGAATAAATAAATCATAGAGCTGTTGAATCTGAGGCAATAGCTACAATGGTAGTACAATCATAATAAAAAAAACAAGTTTTCAGTTTAGACCTTATTGTGATTATTCACTGGAAAACAAGAGTTCTTAAAGCAAAGCAAAACAAAAACAGGCCAGACGCCCTGTAATTGTTCAACATCACCTGGCACTCAGGCAACAGCGTCTGAGCCAAAACTGTATAATTATAACCAGTCTGTTTAAGATTGTCAAGATTGTCATGGTGTGTTATACGCAAAGAGAATTTTCCAGAATTTCCTGCTCTTAAGCTTTATGACACTCTTGTGCCTCTAGAGAGTTGCTTCACTCCATTTCTGAAGGGATGGCCTTAAAATGTTATTTGAAGGCTATTGCTATGGAGACCTTCAGGGATGGGACAGGTTGGACATTATAAATGTTTTCTATGATGACCTGCTTGATGAATTGTAAATACCTTTTAACTGTGCTCATCCTCTAGTGAAACCTGCTTGCAAGCGCCTTTCTGTTTACTCTGCAGCTACTACTCAACAGTCTGATTTTTCTTATAATTAAAGGATGGCTCAAACACTTTTCCCCTGATCCTCCATGACAAAGGTTTGCTGAAATCATGGCTATATTGTGCAAAATGGAAGGGAAATGAAATGTAAATCACAAGCCTAGAATGAAGATTCTTCAACTTTCTTTGTCCTATACCTTTTCTGGTGGAACTGATCAGTAATGATCTGTCCCAAAAAGGGAGCAGCACAACATTCGCATTAACATTCCCATGTAATACACTGTTTCCCATTTATCTTTTAACTTAAACATGTATCCATTCTTTGGACTAAAATGGAAAATGCTTCTTCTTATTGTACTATGCAGGATCTGGACAATGGCTTCTTACACAAAACTGAACTGGAAGCAAAACTGAGTGGACTTCAGGCTTGGGTTGAGTTAATGAAAAACATCCAGGAACAGGTAAATAATAATCATCATAAAGAAATAAAGTAGAAGCTGTACGGAACGGGGAATCAGGCTATAGGAAATTTCTAAGATTCAGTTTTGTTGAAACATTTACAATGTGACTCCTGTACCTTCAGAACCAGTATCTATAGTTTAACCTACTTTCCTCTGACAAAATATTTAACTTTCCAGACAAATCTATTATACCCTTCTGCCAAGAGTTAACACAAAATCACACTGGAAGACCTAATAAATAAATAGAATACTTATCCAGGAATTTTCTAAGTCCTCCAGCATAACTTTATGGTAACTTCTGGTGGTGGAAGCCATTCATTTCAATAAGAGTTGTAGTTTTCACAGTATGTTCAGAAATGTAGCTCTTGTGAATATACGGGTCATCATTTAATAACTTTTTCCCCCCGAGCTTGTCTGGATCCACTTGTAAATAGCAAATAAAGAGAGTTAGGTAACTAACACACAAGAAAATATTTAAATTTACAATAGATTTACCAATAATCAACAGTCCACATATAATTAATTATTTTGTGTGTGTCAGGAACAGCTTCAGAAAATGCAAGTCGCTTCTGGTGTGAGAGAATTGTCTGTATTATTATTTGTAATATTTGTATACCACCCTTCTCAACCCCAAAGGGGACTCAGGGCAGTTCACATGTATTCCTTACAATTGTACAGTAATAGATGTGCTTTTAAAACAACTATTTATCTTGACAAAATGCCTACAGAAAATGGATAAACTCCGTGTACTCTGGTTTAAAATTAACTTGTGACACTTCTTGAGAACTGGGTCCTCTATTCCGCCCCAGTTATGAGCCCCTTTATCAGCAACAAGATCCAATCCACAATTATCTCCAGGAAGTTCAGGAAGGAATTCCCCAGCACTCCTCTGCCCTTATCATCACCCTCATCATGCTTACCCTGCACTCATAATCAGTTTGTGACCTTTAAAACATGGAATTCAAAATGTTTGAAATATCCTCAAGGAGGGTGGCTTACTGAAGTACTTCAGCCACAAGCTCTCAACCTGACATCACCCTTCCAGTCAATTTATGGGAACTATGCTCAGCCTCATTCAGTTCTCTTGAAACTCCATTGTCTTTCAAAGGGACATGAGAGATGGTGCTTTGGGAAGTTGAGGACAGGTTTATGCCAAACGTTTTTCATCTTTTGCCTCAGAACCCTCTGAAGACTTGATCTTTAAACTAGTACCTTCTGTAATCAACCTTCAGTGTCCATCTCCTTCCTCATGTTCAAAATAGCTCCGTAGGGTCAACTCTGCCTTGGGATGTAAGCTGAATTCAAAGCACTTCAGTTTCCAAAATCCATCAAAGACCAAATAAAGGCAGGAAGAGACCACTAGCAGATCCTACAACTATTGGTCATTGGTGTGCTGTTCTGTACTTTCTTGGGCACTTACTTAGGGTCTCTCGTTTTCATTGCTCTCACTACATGAATAGTGCAAGGACTTCACTCCTATTTTTACATGAATGGATGTGCCTATTTAATTGCAGCTGACAGGATTAGTTTATTGCCATCTCCCTTTAGGTTTAGTGCAAGATGTCTGGGCTACACGGCAAAGACAGTGATGCTCCTTGTGGTAATAGATGGCGTCAGGTTGCCTATGGGACACCCATGATTTTTAATAGCCTCTTCTCCTTCCCTTTGCCGATGGGTATCTTGCACTTCTACTTTTCCATTTAGGCCACCTTCTATTTTGCAAAGCATTTTAAGGACTTTATCACACGGGAAAATTTACCCATCATACAATGCTTTCACCACCATTCAGGGATGGAGCACACCAGATTCCATCAAACAATGTAGAGCTACTTCTGATGGCACTCCGTCTCTGAATTGTGGTGAAAACATTGTATGAAGGAGCAACGAGGCAAATGCAGAGGGAAGCCGGGTAGTGACGTTTTATCCTGTGTGATGGGGAACATGCTGTGGGCGATGTAGGGCAATTCCCCTGGTGTCCGCCAGATTCGCCATGCTACCTGCTTAACCCCCCCCCCCCCCCCGGTCACTCACATTGGGTGACTTCATGTGATAAGGTTCTAATATGCCTTTTTGCCTCCAGCTGTACTCAGAGGACCACAAAGGTCAAAGCTCTGGCACAAAGAGACTGAAGCCCACCCATGCTATACCTAAGCCAAGAGTGGGAAACACATAGTCACCCAACTGTTTTGGCCTACAATTTCCATCAGCCTCACACAGCATAGTCCATGTTAACAGACAATGAAAACTATAGTGCAAAAATATATGGAAAGTATATTTGGCACAAGCATTTCTCCACACACTCAAAATTCAGAAATACATAATCAAATCTGTCAGTAATAAGCATGTAAATTTGCCTTACCCAAGTCTGAATGCATTCATTTATTTGTTTGTTTGTTTGTGTCAACATGAATTTTGGTATACTGAGAATTTTGATTTTCTAAAAACATGAATTAAGAAACAGGCCAGGTCCAATCCCTATCTGTTTTACCCAAAAATGTTAATATTTTTAAAGGAACTGTTGAAAGTTCTTACTGATATTTTTCTAAATCAAAACATGAAAACATGCCACAGAGAAACCTTGCATTTATCCCTTAGGAATGAAGTGTCCTTCATTCCTAAGGGATAAGGAAGTTGATATTCTTTCATAGGAAGGAAATCAATCAATTTTCTTAGGGGACCAGAGCTATTTTCCTTTGAGAAAGCTATTCACTCCATCTCTGCATAATTTGCTGCCCATGACTTCCTTTAGTTTCCAGCTTACTGTTGGTGAATATTTTTCTGTCTTGTTTCTTCAGTTGATCACTGAATCACTTCCAACTCACTATGATTTACTGCTCTGTGCTTCTATCACCCAGGAGCAAGCACACTAACAATGAACTAGCAAGAAACTCAAATAATGGGGTTTTCTAGGGATGGGTCACTTTCCCATTTTAACAATGAAGCACACCTTCAATTCTGATTCAGCATGAAAAAGTGTGACAGCTATTTTTTTTAAAAAAAAAATGTTCCTTAGGAGTGTGGGAGTGCTTTAACTGGTATGTCTTTTGTTGGGATAAAGTTTACCAACTTATAAATTGGCAGTACTTGCCTTATATGGCTTGCCTCCTTATCTACAGATTCCTTCTTCCATCCTCACCACACACATACGCACTCCTCCACTTTGAGCTGGGTTTTGATGTGCTTAGCTTTATTGACTTTGGCACCATACCACATTTTTTTCACCCACCCTTTATTCACAGAAGTAATAATTTGCTGCCTCTTCTCTGCCACCTTATCTTTCCCTCAGATTAGAGTTGTGATCATGTGAAGGTAAAAAAAAAGGTGATAATAGCTTCATGGTCGCAGCAGTTCTTGAATCTCAATTCACCACAAAATCTAGCCCACGCAGTCTCCTCTGCAGCACTTGTCACCTGAAAATTGGCTTGGGCTGCACAAAGTTTCCTTGTAATTCTGCTCCCAAAGGCTGGAAATGGTAGCAGTAAAGATTCCTTGCAAGAATACCATAGATCTCAAAGAAACGGCTCAAGTGCTTTGCAGGTATGCACAGCAGCATCCCTCTGTGCCAGGAAGCCTGGTAAATTTAGTTCCAATTGCCTTCAGTGCTGTAAACATTTGTGACATTACCCCGAACAAGTTGCAGGACAACTAAATTATCCTATGGTTCAAACACTTTCCCCCTGAGGCTTCATAGCTTCGGGTGGGAAAGGTTGAATAAGGGTTAATATGATAATGTTATACAAATTTATTCATGGTTTGGAAAAAGCAGACAGTGAGAAGTTCCCTTTCCCCAAATGCTTGGGCTCTAGGCTGCCCAATAAAGCAGAATAATGGAAACCTAAGAACGTACAAAAAGAGGCACCTCTTCACACAATGCCATGAGGTACAATGAAATGCCACAAGGTATGGCCACCAACGTTGGTAGCTCTGGAAGATTGAATGCAGGGAGGATAAAGCTATCAAAGGCTACTAGTCAGAATGGTTACATCTGCTGCCTTCAGCATTTCTCTTAATACCACTTCCTGGGAAATAATAGTGGGAGAGCTTTTAGGTGCTTCAGCTAGTAACCTATTGACCTCTAAAACAATACACTCCAACCATCCCTGTCACTCACATGGCCACAAACTTCACCTCCCTTCAGCCCATTACAGTTGGTGTTGGCCTGGAAAAGAGGTGGGAGAAGGCAGAAATAAAGAGGAAGTGAGGAAGATCTTCCTTTCTCTTCCTCCTGTTCTGCTATAGAATCAAATCAAATAAAAGGAGGTTTGGGTAATGAAGAGTTTTCAGCACCCATGGCTTTCTGGCACATGGAGGAAACTATATAGCAATCATTGCACCTGGAATGCTGCTAAAAGATCTTCAAACAAGATTAGCAAATGTGGCTAGAGGGAGGAAGTTGAATCACACTAAGAGATGGAAGAATGGAGGCAGGCAGGCAGAAGTAACTACAGTGTTCCCTCACTTATTGCGGGTGTTGTGTTCCAGGAACACCCGCAATAAGTAAAAATCCGTGATGTAGGGATGTCTGGCTCCCCCTCCACTCCTCCTCCTCTTCATCCTCCTCTTCCTCCTTCCTAAATCTCCATCGACTTTGATGGGCTTTGAGGCGAGGCTGTTGAGGAAAGGCTAGACCAGGCCCTCAGGCAGGCAGGCAGGGAGGAAGGGAGAACATGGGAAGCATGCCCCTGCCTCCTTCCTTCTCCGGTGGCCCCTTGGACAGGCAGGGAGGAAGGGGAAAAGCGCACTTGCCAGTTGAGGCCTGCTGTTGCTGCTGACGAGCTCTCCCTCCCTCTCCCTCTGGCCTGCCTGCACCACAAGTAGAAACAGCTGGTCCCAAAAGAGGTGTGTGGGCCCTCACCCATCCGATGCTGTCCCTTCCACCTCCAGTGTCTTTGGGCCTCCGGCCTCAGGCCTGCTCACCTCTTTGGGGACCAGTTGGTTCTCCTCGTGGTGCAGGCAGGGAGGCAGGCCGGGAGATGGAGAGAGGGAGAGCTCATCAGCAGCAACAGCAGGCCTCAGCTGGGCAAGCGCACTCTTTCCCTTCCTCCCTGCCTGTCCAAGGAGAGGTCTCCTCCTCCTCTTTCTCCGACTCAGCCCCCAATAAATTCATTTAAAAAAAACCAAAACAGTGAGTCCACGTAAAGCAAACAGCGAAATAGTTAGGGAACACTGTATATTCTTTTTGGGTTTGGATTCAGAGATGGCAGAGGAACTGTGCTTCTTCAGTACAAAAGTTGTAAATCTTGCCTCTACTGATATATCAGAACACAGGTCAAGTTTTCAATAAAACACAATAAGGTCATGTGGTCAGTTGAAAGGAAGAGTGGAAATTTCAAAGGTTTCTCACAATTAGGTGAGAAACCTGCCGGCCCTCTCGTGGCACATAGAAATGATGCAACAGGAGAACAGGGGGAGGGGGGGATGAAAATCGCTCCTACCTCCAATTTTTCTGGTACATCATTTCTACATGCCAGGAGAGGGCCAGCAGAAGGGAAATGCCAGCCGGATAACTAATTGTGTTTTTTAAGGCTCTTCTGGGGTTTTTTTTTTTTTGTTCATGTGTGCCATGCCGGACCCCCCCCCCCCCCAAGAAGTGCATGGAACAAAGAAGTGCAGCCTGACCTGGTTTTTTAAAATGACTTTTCCCTTGTCTGGAACTGCCCTTAGTTCCTGCAGGGTCACCATATCCCACTTCCCAGTTTCTGTGAATATTTCAAATTTATGCACATGCATACACTTGTACCTCTCTCTAGTGATCCCTGAAGGCTTGTTTAAATGCAAGGGCCCTGCCTGTTTACCTAGGAATTAAATGTTAATGGAAGAGTTGACTTGTTGGTAGGCATCTTTCTTTGTCAATGGGTAAACTATGTATGTACTCTACCTCCGGTCTTTGTTCCTTCTCAGTCAGGCAAGAATCAGTAGAAGAAAACAGTTTTAAATTGTTTCATGAAGGTAAGGTGTGGAGGAGACTAAAAAGAGGCTGAAAGGGGATACAAAAGCACACCTCAGAAAAACTCTGGTTGACAAGGCCAGAGAAATAAGACAATTGACTGATTTCCCCCCTTTTTGAGGTGAATAACTCTACTTAAATCAGGCATGCATGGTAGAAAGCCAATGGTTCAAGAAGTATAAGACTAAGGGAAAAAATACAGGAGGTGATCTGGCTTTGAAATCTTTCAGGTTAGGTCTTGCCTGCCTCTCAGTCATGCTAGCAGATGTGTGTGGTTTTACTCACTGGGATTATGATGCTTTTGAAAGTCATTGAGTTATAGCTGAATTCATTAGATTGGCCAGGGAGCCCTTCCTCTGCATCTTGACAGGCTCGGTCACCACATGGGTATGTTCCAGAGGTCAGGGAGATGCTTGTTGTTATAAAAGAAAATTAAGATGAAAGACAAAAGAGGTGGAAGAAAAAAAAGGACAAGGCAACCGCTTTGCAGATGCAAGCTTTGCTTACTATTTGGCAATAGTAGAATCAGAGGTTGGTAGGAAGACCAGGTTTGCTTACTTCCCCCTTTGTGGTAGGCCACAGAATAGAGACAGAACTGAAGGAGGATTCAGATGCATTAATAAGTCTCCTGTAAAAAACAAACTCTTGAGTTGAATGAATTAGGGCAGGGAGGAAGGAAGAACTATTCCAAGTAATCCTCCCTCCAGTGACATAACACTGCCATGCAGCTTCTGCTCCACTGCACATATCTTCACAAAGACAGCCCTAGTACATGTAATTCTCCATTCAAAACTCTCCACACAGTGCAAAACCTTATGTAGTTCAGGTTCCTTGATTGCACAGAGGTTTCCCCATAGAATCATAGGATTTCAAGAGTTAGAAGGGACCATAAGGGCCATCTAGTCCAGCTGTCAACCATGTAGGTCTACATAGCTAAATAACTACTGGACAGAACCCCATCATGCTTAAGTACAACCATTGGTGAACACTTTTGACCTTTAGTCACTCAATCAGTTAAAGATTCACCTAACTTTAGCACTGTTTAGCACAATACTGATATACTCTACAGAGCTGTTGTAGAATTTAGAGAGGAAATATATGTTAAAAATCTAATTATTACTAGATCCAGGCACTGGTTCTTAGCTGCAAGCTGTAACTCAACCACAGTATTTCCCTCCTGTTTATTTAGGAACTTGAAGAAGTGATGTCACAGGTTAAGGATGTTTCAGTTGTGCTGGGGATCGACAACAACAGATACAACCCTGATCCACACAGGATTGTGGAGGATGTGAGAGCTCAGTATGAAGCCCTGGCTATCAGGAGCTGGGAAGAATTAGAAGCGCTCACCAGAAGCAAGGTATGCACCTACTTGGCACTGAGGACTGTCCAATCTACACTCTTGCAAGGTGGACATACATCCTGATGGAAAGATGCAAAAGACATCACAATTATATTACAACAATAGAGAAGGGGTAGTACGCACAAATGTGTGTGGCATTTTATTTTTGTGAAATCTCACGGATGTGTAAATCAGCACTATATGTTCTGCCTCTCACACTATCTGAATTATCTGAGTTAGTATTTGAAGTTTGACTCTGCTAGCACAAGCTGGTCCAGATTTCACTAGCTAACACATATTTGGATGCCTTAAATGTTAGGCCTGTTCCAAAAATGACACCAGTTTTCCCTATCAGCTCTAATGTATGAAATATATGCTATCTACCAGTTGCTATCTGCTCACTCATGGACAACCATAATAACCATATCTAAGAAACTAGAGCTGACACAGTCTATCCAACCACTATTCTAGCTCTCCGTGTACTAAATCCTGGAGACTACTTAAAGCCTTAAAAAGCTGCACATTCGTACCCATATGTCTATTTCCCTCTATATTAATGCCTACAGTCATGGTTGCAATTTTCCCTTAGAAATGTGGTTATTTGGAACTCTGCATCTCTTGATTCCACTATGGTTTTTGTTTTTTGTTTTTGGCTGATAAGAATGTAATGTGCTCTTTATCTTTTCTGCAGCTGAATGAAAGAGAGGTGCTTTCAGTTAAGTATGGGGACCATCTTCTTCATGACCGGAGAGCAATTGCAGAGTTAAACATACAGATCCAGAAAATGAGGTCTTGCATTTTGTCCTTAAAAAGTCAGGTAAGATATGGCTGACTTGAAGGTTAGCCTGAATAGAAAAAAAGCAGGAAAGCATATGTCAAAGCACAATTTCATATAGAAGATGCATTGTCCTTGCTTCAAAGATGAAATTGTGAACACTTTTCTGTTTTCTGAGAACATCACTGGGAATTATGGGGGATTTGATATGAGGGTTATCATACCGGAAGCTGTTAAAATTAATCATGGAATCATTTTCATTATGCGCAGCTGACTGCAACAGTGCATGTCTACCACAATGAAAATGGCGGGCAAAATGTAATATGTCACTACTGTCAATATTTAGATGTGAGAGGGTATCACTCAAAGCTCATGCTTCCACTGATGCTTTGCTTCAGGTATTTTTGCATTGCTGACAGCCTCTGTTTCACCATGGGAAGGCACAGGCAGAAGTGTGGCTTGGGGTTTTATAGCCCATTTCTTCTCCATATTAACAGATTTCATGTGACATGTTTATTGGAATATTCTTGGGAAACAACTACCAGATTAGCCCATTATATTGGAAATGACAGAGTTGGGGGGGGGGGGGTGTCAAAAGACCCAGTAAAATAAGTTTTTTTTCCTCCTATCTACTTACTCATATTCCCAAAGCAAGTCCATTTCTGATATCTTTATCCAGCCTTTTTACCAGGGTCAAAGGTGAAGCAGTGAGGAAAAGAAGAGACCAGACTAACAAAAAATTGTCCTCACCCATCTTCCATGTTGCTTCCCTGTCTACTGTAGTGTCTGCGTCTGGAGGACAACATCAAAGATGTTGGCTTGCAAGGAGAAACTGCCCTCAATGATGCTAAAGCAAAACTGGCCAAACTGGAGGAAGCCCTTCATAATGCTAAGCAGGACTTGGCTCAGCTGGTTAAACAATATCAAGAGCTGATGAACATCAAACTGGCCTTGGACATTGAGATTCTCACCTATAGGAAGCTGATGGAAGGTGAAGAGATCAGGTGAGTAAGCTGGTTTGGAGCCTCTCTGAACTGAACAAATGGCAGATCTGAAACTTCTCGCCTAAATGTGCAGAGGTCAATTCATATAGGAAAAAAATAGGTTAGTGGAGGTCTCCCTGGACACATTAGGTCTACATAGAGGCCACTACACAGAATTCTATGTGCATTGGTGCTGGATGTGAGGGTCTGAGCCAAATACCTATGTGATATTTCTGATTCACTCTTTAGTCACATGGAGCCCCTTCTTTTAATTCACATGGGAACAGGTTTTTTGGATGCTTGGGATTCTCAGCACTCGTGCAGTATTCTGAATATCCAATTGGACTCTTGCTGGGTTATTGTCACTTGTGTTGTATCCTATGTTGTTCATGCTGTTGTTGTCTTCAAGTAGCTTCTGACTTATGAGAACCTACAGTCTATTACTGGAGCTTCTTTGCAAGATATCCTTGGGTGCGTGACTTTGCCTTCCTTTGAAACAAAGAGAATTTGACTTCCCCCAGTAGGATTTCATGGCTAAGTAGAGATTCAAACCCTGATAGTGTATTTTTTGGGAAATGGGGAAAGAGGAGGGCCTAATGAAAACTTTTGTCATTACAAATAATACAACTGGAAGGAAAGGGGGAGGAGAGCGTTCAGAATGGAAGCTCTCAAGATACCAAAGATCTCAGGGAGAACTACAGATTCCAAGTTATTCATCATAACAACTGTTATTTTTCTTAAGACTAACTTCTTATTGTACCGCTTAACTTATTTAAGTTGTTTTTTTCTTTCCTCACAGCATGGAGTCCCCATCACCTGCAGTTATTAGCAGAATCTATTCCACTCCAAAGCTCTGTAAGTTTGTTTGTTTTGTTTTTAAATTCATTGGATTATTTAAAAAACTTTCATATTAAAAATGAAACAAGTGAATGAAACAAGAGGTCTTTCTAATGGGGTGATTGAGGATACCATTTTGAATTGACTGCTCAGATGGGATGCCATTTAAATAGGAACACTAAATTAAAAGATGTGAAGTTTGCAACCAAAATACAGCTAATTTCCTTCTATTTTTCTTTTTCAGCTTCACCAAATTTCAGCAGCACACCCAGCCCATATTCAACAGACAAGATGAGCCACAGTAGAAGCAGTTTGGAAAGTGGACTTTCCAGATGTCAGAGTGGTGGAACTGGGGTGGTTTCAGGAGGTGATTTGTCTAGAAGCCATAGCAGTAGAAGTGTGGGTACTGCAGATGGTAGCCTTTCTAGAAGCCATAGCAGTATGAGTAGCAGTGTCTCAGAGGCATTTAGAAGTGCCAGCCACAGAGATACCCTGGAGAGTCGTTCTTCCAGAAGCACTAGCAATAAAAGTGGAAATTTTGCAGATATTGAAGATACCATAGAGAGCAGAGTTTCTAGAAGTCACAGCCATGGGAGTGGTAGTTACAAAACTCATAGCAACAAGAGTGGGGATAATCTAGAAGACAGACTTTCTGTAAGCCCAAATAGTGGAAATAGAGGCATCTCAGAGAGTTGTCTTTCTAGAAGCCAAAGCAACAGAAGTGGAGGTCTGACTGACAGTGTATTTACCAGAACCAACAGTGGTACAAGTGATGGTGCACAAGAGAGCAACTATTCAAGGAGCCAAAGCCACAGAAGTGTAGGATGTTCACCCTCCAGTTTTTCCAAAAGCCCAAGTGGAGAAAGTAATATTGTTCCTGGAACTACCCATACTAGAGACTTCAGCTCTGAAAGCAGCAATGTTCCACAGGGCAATGCTTCTAGGAGCCAAAGCAACAGAGGCAAGGACAAATCAGACAACAGTCTTTCTAGAATTCACAGTGGTGGAAGTGAGGCTATCTCAGAGGGAAGTTTTTTTGGAAGCAATAGCGGTAGCAGTACATCCTATGTAGAAGGTGGTCTTTCTAGAAGCCAGAGTGATGAAAATGACATTCGTGGCAGTGAAGATTATGCTGAGCCTACTGTTTCCAGATCCAGAAGTACTGAAGATGGTGGAGTCCCAGTGGGTAGTATTTCTAGAAATCAATCTGGGATAAGCAGGGACATGTCTACAGAGGGACATCTTTCTAGAAGCCAGAGTGATAAAAATGAGTCTCATGCCAATCATAGAAGTGGATCATATACTGATTCTGTTGTTTCCCAAACCAGAAGTGCCGAAGATGGTGGGGTTCCAGTGGGTGGCATTTCTAGAAGTAAAAGGTCAGTAGAAGGCAGCCTTTCTAGATGTCAGAAAGAAGAAAATAAATTTTGTGGCACTGAGACTGTTGTTTCCAGAGTCAGTAGTATTGAAGGTGTTTCTAGAAGTCATAGCATTGAAAGTAGGGGAGCCTCACAAGGGAGCAGTTTTAGGACACCTAGTATCAGAAGTGTAGACCTAACAGACAGTGTTTTTATGAGAACTTCAAGCAGTGCTGAGCAAGAGGTTCAAAAGGAACCAAGATCAAAAATTCGCAGTGTGGCAAGTGAAAGTAGTGAGAGTAGCTTTTCTAGAAGTCAAAGCAACAAAAGCAGAAACTTTGCAGAAAGTGTTTTAGCTAGAGCTCACAGTGGTACAAGTGAAGATCGCCTTTCTAAAAGCCCAAATGATGACAGTCATGACTTCATAGAAGCTACATCTCCTAGAAGTCATAGTCATGGAAGTGGAGGATTTGCAGAATCATCTGTTTCTACAACTCCTAGGGAGGAAAGCAGAAGAGTCTCAGAAAGTGCCATGTCCAGAAGTCCCAGGGCTGGAAGTAAAGACATCTCAGAAGACAGTCTTTCCAGAAGCCAAAGTAGCAGAAGTGGAGGATTTGTAAGAGGCAATAGCAATAAAAGCAAAGAAAGTGATAGCAATGTAAGCGGGAGATATGTAGATGAAAAAAGTCATAGAGAGGCAGATGTTCTAGAGTCTTGTCTTTCCAGAAGTAGAGGTATATCAGCAGGTCACTTTTCTAGGACTCAGAGTGATGAGAGTGAAGGCCCTGTGGAAACATCTACTCCCATTTCCCTCCACAAAAGAAATGAAGGCACTATGGAACATAGCCTTTCTAGAAGCCACAGTGGAGACAGCGAGAGCTTTAAAGCCACTGGGGTCTCTAGAAGTGCCAGTGAAATAAGCAGAGTTGCTTCAGAGGTTAGTCCTTCTAGAAGCAGTAGCAAGGATAATGAAAGTTCTCCAGGGGGCCCACTTTCTAGAAACTACAGCTATAGATGCGCAGCTGAATCACACCCTTGTATGTCTAGAACAGAAAGTGATATGTCTGAAGCTGTTCCCGAAGGTAGCTTTTGCAGAAGCTATAGCTCAGGAAGTGAAAAGCCATCAGAAACTGGAAGCCAGAGTAGTGAGAGGGGAACTATTTCGGATGCTGGTCTCTCAACAAGCTACAGCAGCAGCAGTGGAGGGGCTTCCATGAACAATCCCTATGTAAGCTACAGTGGAGAACCAGAGGGAAGTTGTCAATTTGAGGATGTCTCACATTTGCACATTGCTACGGATGAAGATGTTTTGCATAGTGGTGAAACTGGAGATCTAGTGGAGAGAAGCCAGAGTGGTGAGGCAGCAACTCCAAAGCCTGTCTGCATGGTTTATGAATTTTCTTCAGATGAGGATCACCATCCTCCATCTGGTGAACTATGCTACTATGTTGAGACCAGCTCCATTGAGTAGAGTGTCCCATGTACACATCAATGAGATCAAAATAACTTCTTATAGAATTCCCTCTCCATCCATAGGATCATAGACCATAGATAGGTGTCCACATTCAACCTTCTATTAGCAAGGTTAACAGTTGGAAGCAGGACTTTTTGCAGACTTGAATATGGCAATGGAACCTTCTTTGTCATGATTTGTGGGATCAAGCACAGAGGATAACTTCAGTCCTTCTGATAGTATACTCTATAGTAGTGAATACTAATAGTATAACTATTGGTATGTTACAGGGATTAATTGCAAGAAAACATAAGCTAACAGCATAGTCTTTTGACCAGTATTATAAAAAGGATATTTTTCTTTTTATCCAGCCTTTTAATATGCAGATAATTCAAGGCTTTCTTCTTAGGGAAAGCAAGTGGTGTGATCCTCTATAAAGGATTATTTTTGTGGTATGAGTTAATAGGTGTATCATTTTGCCTGTCTACCTGAATTAAGAAAACTGATGGTGTTGTGTATACTTTTTTCCTAGAATATTATAGCCATAGGTGAAAGGTGTTATTACTTTCAAAGGCTGATGAGTCCAACATTCAGGATCTAAGACTTAGATTAGAAGATGATATTATTGTAGTTTTGTGTCTGTTGGCTGGACAATCTTTAAGAAGCCAGCTTCTTACATTTTGATCTCCATCTGCGGCATAGTATTAAGAGGGTCTCAGAGTTTCTGTGAAATAGAATGAATGCAAAGTGATACACTTGCTCTAAATCAGGAAGATTATTTATATTAAATCCCTATTCAAATCAAAGGATGAGTTTGTTACAAGCAAAGTGTTTAATTGATTTCAGATTTGCTATGTCTATTCTTGCTGCTTTGGGCATCCTTGGTTGGATTCCGTCATCAGTCATGGGATGTGGTGATCCTATAAACTTTTGATAATATTCACAAAGTAAACAAACACGGTCCGTAGCATTATGTGGACAATCAGAATTATCTGTATATTGACAGTGGTGGTGGTGAATTTATTAAAAACAATCAAGGAATGGGACTGTGTCAAGCCCATATATATGTAGAGTATATATTGCTTTTACTATTCTGGTGACATTACCAGATAGTCAAATTTGACTATCTGGCAATGTCACTGAAATATATAATTGTTAAAGCAAATGTGGTACTTCAACTGGTATAGGTAAGCATTTTCAAAAGTAGTGCCAAAAATCAATGAGAAGATTTTTTTTCAACTGCTATTTGCTCTTAAAAGGTGAGTTGTTCTGGCTTAGTTCTAGTGACAAGTCACCAACCTTGGATGAGGTCTTTGTGTTCTTAGTAGTCCTGTATAAGTGATTATTTACCTAACTACCTAATTCTCTTTAGTTTCTTTTTGGTCCACTGGGGGGAAATAAACTTTGTAAAGGAGACTTTGTCATGCTGTGCCCACTTCCACCTGCTCTTTTGGCTTTCTATACTTTTAGTTTCTTCCAAGGCTGCCATTAAGGCAATAAGCTCCACATAGATCCCTGGATTTTTTAGGGAATAGGGGAAGAGTAGATGCATAGTATACACTCTTCCTGGTGTCGCTTCTGCCCACAGGGTGGTTCAACAGAATGCTGGAAAGTCGAGATAACCAAGGCTGCATACTTAACTGGGAGAAAGACCTTCTGACTTCAATGGTACCTGCTCATCAGTAAATGCACAAACCTGCGTAGGATTGCATTCTGTTTGGAACTGGGGGTGAAGGAAAGGATCCACATACACCCAAGACAAAGAAGGGCCAGGAGAAAAAAAATATTTAGGCAAATGAATTGTGACTTTGAAGAGGTTATGTGAAACCAGTGCCACAAAAACAAAGAAATCATCCCAGTTAGGTTCTTCAAAGAAACTGTATATAGGGGACATTTCTGATTTCGATGCACAACCAACTGCTAGACCATTATGCTAATCTGTTTCATAGGGGAAGATTTTCTCACCATTGTACACATTGCAAATAAAAACTGGGTGTTATAGTAAGAGACAAGCAGGAAATGTGAGGCTAGATGCTATTCTCCTGGATTATTTATTGGTATTTGTTGTTTTAATACAATAAACGATGCACATATATTTAAGTTAAGTTATTTTAATCCTGCAGACATAATGCTTAGTTTCTCACCTTTTTGGCTAATAAACGTATATCCTACACTAAAGTGGCATTTCTCTGCTTTGGGGTTGGACTTTGCATTCAGCAGGCACTATTTGCAACCTCGCTGCCATTTTATGAGAATACTAGAAATTCTCAACAGTTTTGTGCTAAAGGGATCAGTAAATATGGGTGAATGCATATATAACCAGACATCTTTTTTTTAAAAAAAAAACTCTTCATATATGTAATAGGTCTCTCCTTCTATTAGAGGTTGATATAGAAAAAGTAAAATGACCATGTTTAGTAGTTTTTAAAGCATGCTGGAAAACCATCTGTTAAAGCTAGCCCCAACACTGGATTGTCAAAAGAATGTAAATATTGGATTCCACCCCTACTAAGACATGTCCTCAATCCTGTTTGCTCAAAGAAAAGAAAACCAGGTTTGAGTTTTCTATAGACCTAATAAACCAGATTGAGTTTTTAAAAGATGTATTAATCCCAACAAAGGTTAAGTATCACTGCAGTAGTTGGACCATGATTGTTTTCAGGCCCATTATTCTCATGTAGCTTACTTGTTATCAATTCACTGTGAAGTTTGTCATGTAAGTTTGTCTGGTGCTCCTGAAAGCAAAATCCCCCCCCCCCCGTGTTTCCTTTACAATGTATCAATACATAGCTTAATATATAATAAAATACTTGATAATTTTAAAATAATGTCATTTATTCTTGATTATGATGCAAGCATTTGCCCTTACATTCCATCAAGAGAATTCTGGAATATGGCTCTTCATAAAAGTTTGAAAAAACTCTTTTGATTTACACTAATTAAGTCTTTTTCCACAGGTTGTTGTACAGTAACTCCCATCAGCTCTAGCCTATCTAGTGTGTAATGAGGAATGTTGGCATTTACCATTTACCAAATTCTAGAGGATCACAAAATTCCCATCTTGATCTAAAGCAACTACACATTTCTATGTTCAGAGTAATTCAACATGGCCTACTGTAACACAGCCCAACCAATTTTTTTCCTTTGGGGCTTAATGTTTAGGCCTGTTCATGGAATTATTTAGGGAGCTGATTCAAAAAATTCAGCTCTAGTTTTTTCGATATGGTTATTATAATTTTCTATGGGCGAGGAGATGGTGATTGTAGATGGCATATGTCCTGCATCTCAAAAACTAGAAGTGATAGGGGGAAACTGGTGCAATTTTTGGAATCAGCAGTCAAATATTCTCAGATACAGGGGTATAATTTGAGGCACCAAAATGTGTTGGCCACTGTAATATACCATATATTTCTGTGCTAGGTGTTTCTTGTTTCAAGGAGCATATAAATTCTATGCAAGATTATGCAAAATATCACTTACACTTCTAGAGGTACACTGGATCCTTGGACTTTGGTTCCAGGACCTTCTGTAGATACCAGAGTCCATGAATATTCAACACTCTTTATATATAATGGCATAATAAAACAGTGCCCTTTATATAAAATAGCCAAATTGATCTTTGCTTATTTTTGATGTTGAAAAAAGTATTTTCAAGTCATGGGTGGTCGAATAAATGAATACAGATTCTGTAGGCACAAAGGGCCAACTGTACTTTCAGACAAACAGGTCCCTTGACTACCTGAATTTTATGGTGATCTTACATTGTATCATTTAACATAGTTTTTTTTTAAAAAATGTTCATTTTGCCTTATTTATGTAACTATTTCAAAGGCTTTCAGATTTGTATGTTTCTTTTTCACTTCCATATTTCAGAGGACTGACAAGAAGCAAATTCATCAAATCCTCTTCCCACATCAAGGATATGTCTCCACCCATTAAACTGTATCAGTAACTACATACAAATAAAGTCCTCCCACCTCCACACCCAAGCGAGTAGACCGCTTCACCTACTATGGTTCATTCATACAGGAAACTGGGTGGCATAAATAATTATGTATCCAGCTAACATTTCCCTTGCAATGACTCAAGGCTGCATGGAGGAAGCCTCCTTTTGTTTGACTCCTCTTTGCTACACTTTATCTAAGAATTTCTTCATGGGCCAAATCTCATTTGTCACTGGGTCTTTCCCAGTTGAACCCTGGGAAATCATTCCAGCCCTAAGAACTCTGTCTTAACTATGTCTCCTCCAACAGAAATGACACACAGTTCAGAAAGCCATACAACCAACTGAATATGTAATGTATAGGACATTGGTGATGTATATCTTCAGATTTGTCCCAGCTTACATCTCTGATGTGGACATGTATAATATACCAGCCCTGTGTTCCTGTAAAAGGGAAGACCTTCGTCTTCAAATGCTAAATAACTTCTCAAAAGGGTGGACAATTAATCCCACCACTCCTCCAGGCTGGTCATTCTCCCAACATCTCATTTTATACCACAGACATGTTTTGGGGCTGCCTTTAAGGTATGCACTGTAATGTGGGGTTGTCGTTATTGGAAAGCTGGGTAGCCATCAGAATGCAGGAGATTTCTCAGAAGGGCAAAGAAAACCAGCTCTACCTTGAGACAGAATGAAGCAATTGCTTCAGGCCAGAGAACCTGGTAACAGCAACAACAGCCTTCCTCTCCTATGTTTTCCTTGAGCCCTTGGCTAGTCCCCACTATTAAAAGAGAAAGCCTACCTTGGACCCTCCTTTACTAGTATTATGCCTTCATATGTAGTAGATCCCTATTCCATTGCTAATCTTGGAATAAGATTAAATTGGTCACCCAGCCAGGTTCTGCACAAACAGGAGAAGAGACATGTGCCATTTTGTCCTTTGCCTCAAGCAGCAAAATGTCTTGGGCCATCTCTGAGGGCAGACAACAGATGACGTTACTAAGAGAAGATCATTGTATCAGATAGAAAAACAATGTAGTCAAGTTCAACTAGAGACAAATAGCAAGAGGGCCAAAAGGGCAAATACAAAGAGGCTTTAGAGGTCTGACTCACCAAAGAACCACCTTCATACTTGTGGTGTTTTTCTCTTTTGGTGTTCTCTTTAGGGAATTTCCAACTGTGGCTAAACAACAAGAGAGGTTGCTCTGGAAACACAGCTTTCCATTCTTCCAAGTATTTGGCAGTATTTCTGAGCTTCTGGGAAAGGCTTTGAGCCAACAAGGAACTTGCATTGGATAGGCTGCATTCTGTCCCAGGGAAGGTGAGATAGTCTACCTCATGAACAGGTTTAAAAGGTCTCTTCATAAGAGAGAATAGTATGCTTGGACAATTTTACTTTAAAAAAAAAAATTACAACACTCCGAATTACCTTCACCCAAAATCCTTCCCATAGAACAGCTAACATTTACTTGGACCAGAAAGATAAGGTAAATAAAACTCAACATCTGGGGATACTTCATGTTGGAAGCAAAGCTACCCCTCCATACTGGGAAGGCCTGATTTCTGCAGCTTGAGTCCCATGTGTCTGTATGTGGGGCTCACAACACATTCCAACTGTGCCTATGTGGGTATACACGCAACATCAAATGCTGAGCTCTGCCTTGT